GTAGAGGATAGAGCCGCAGTCGGACGTCGGGAGAACACGGGGAGAACTGGCTGCTACGAGAGCACGGCGGGATGGCGGCGGCTTTCTCGGAACGAGGGTAGACGCTCCGGGTCTATAGGTAGGTTTCGTCGGATACAACGAGAAAATAAGAGATCTTCCCGCACGACTCCGCGATACGAATTGCAATAGCCGACGGTGGCGCTGACGAGCCATCCGAGTCTTCTCCCTATTTTCACCCTTCGTCGACCGCGAGGCGCACAGCGATTTTATCCTGAATTTTGGCTCTCTCGTAAAAGGTCACACCTCGTACAGACTTATTCTACAAATATTTACAACGCGTCATTTTATTCTTCAAATTAGGAGATTTTTTTTATCATTTTGCCGTTATAAGCTATTTGTTACGCTTCAATGTTGTATACGTTCTTACGATATCCAACAAAGTATCTTGGTATATTGTAAGTTCCTATCGTGTATTCTCTGTAAAAAATTTCTCGAACAATAAGCAAACTGTGATTTAATCTGGACCGCGCATTGTTTTTATCGTTACATCATAACTACGTTATTGAGTTGTAACGCGAAAAGTTTCAGCAGAGTCGCTAGAATTTGGTCAGCGTTCGTTAAGTTATCGCGTGCTAAAGTCGCGGTGGAAAAGCGTCGCGCGAAAGCTCGAGTCTAAGCTCGCAAATGGCCGTACGATATAGTTCTGTTTGTTCGACGCAGCTGCAATCGATATCGACGATCCTCGAGATGTTCTTCGCAAATTCTCAAAAACACCATCGCGATATTCTGGGAAGCGGAAAAGGCCAAAGCCTTGGAACATCGATTGCCGCGTGCTCTTTCCTGCGCTTCTCTATTGAAGTATTCCAGAGAAAGGTATCGTTTGCTCGAATCATCCTGGCCAATGTAGACGCAATTTTGTTTCAAATAATCGATACATTGCGTAACATTAATTTAAATTGAACAATATTTTTCGTAATTATACATACATCCTTGAAAAATGAAGAACTCTCACCCAAATTGGTTTTTCGCATCGAAAGAGAAGAAAAGAAATTGTTCCCAATATGTATTTCACGATCATCGCAAATATTATTGACATTTGTTAATGCACCGCGACTGCAGTGACGTAATTCCATCACTTATCTTTTCATGCACAATTTGAAATTTGAAATCGCGTCGTTCGCAAAACTCTTCCGGCTCTCGCCGTCCGTGAAAACCTCTTTTTCCTCTCTTTTTATCGGAATCCCCGAAGGACAATGGACGTCACATACATCGCGCAAGCCAGCGAGGGTGAAATGTTAAATCGCCGTTCGATCGAGTTAAGCCCCCGGTAATATCGTCGCTACGGGCCGCAAGGGATCGCGCGGGGGACGCCTTAATCGGCCGATCCCGGCCCATCGAAAACGAGAGTTACGGGGACGCGATGTACGACGAGTATATCGCGAGACAATGGCGCGCTCTCTTTCGCGACGCATCGGTGGATTGCACGTACGTGCGCGCACCGACGAAAGTATGACCGATCGTTGAAATCTCCGACGCGCTTCGACGTCGCTCGATCTCAATCCGAAGCGGCGAAATATAAGTCTACCTTTAATAAGTCAAATTCACGCGACGAAAGTGCGCAATTACGAATAATATATGCAAGTACCCGGTATATTTCATGTTTGAGTACGAGCTTTTACAGAAGATAGAAAATATAAACGTAAAAAGGTACAGTGGTTTTGGTTTCTAACCGTAAAATTTAAATACCGAAACTTTCAAGTACGTGTTTTTTTTTTCTATTTGATACTTATATTTGTTATGAATAAAGCGAAATTTCAATGAATGTAAAAGTGTTAGAGTTGAAATGATTTCCGAGTACAAACATCTGATGAAATAGCTCACGTTAATGCAGTTAGCATTTAGGACGCGCAGCTTAATATCGTAACGTTCGTTGAAATCTCTCGTGCGATTTCCTTACTTCGCCGCCGGGCGTCCTGGTTCTCTATTTGCAGCGACGTGTCAGCTTCGTAAAGTGGCACGGGTTCCTCAATGGTCTTTGCGAAACAATCGAAGCCAAGCCGGCGAACATCTTGGCGTAACAAAGACGACGAAAGTGGTTCGAGTCTATCTTTGAGGGAACGCAGCTTACGGCCATCGAGTCTAATGGGAGTTTCTCATCGCGTCAAACTCTGCCAGCGACTTATCTGCATCGAGTTGTCAGATCGCGACTCGCAACCCGATATAGAGAAAGAGGGAACAAAATAACTGAAAATCGATAGAGTAAAACGAGCAATTTTCAGAGTGACAAGAAAAATTTTGTGCTCTAAACGATCTCTAATACTCTTTTCGCACGCATCCATATACGTATTACGCGAAATTGTAATAATTTTAACATTTACAATACTAAAAACAATATATAATTCAAGACACGAGAAGCAAATTTTTGAAGGAAAAAGAGAATGGAAATTTGTACAAAATTCTTTGATCAAACCAACTGCATTAATTTCATGATTGCAATGTTATACATTCAGCAAACAGTATAATGCTATTCGCAGTAGTAGCCGCAAAGTACGTTTGAGTAAAACTTTGTTGTCAATTTCGTTATACGAGTTTCCCTTGGATCATATGTTCTCGACACATCAATTACAAAATTCATTTTTACGCAAATATTGTACAAATGTAACAGAGAGAAGTGGGATAAACGGATTTCAGGACGAGCAAAAAAGTACACACATAGATAGAAACGAGAGGAGCAAACGCATGAACATCGCGCGTGAAAACCAAACTATTTATCGCGGGCGCAAAAGGCACGATGCGGGAAATATAACAGCGCGGAGGTAGTAACGCGAAGAAACTCGGAGAGACGGAGAGAAGAGACGTGAAAAAGGGTGAACGAGGGTCGGACACACATATATACACCGCCTTTCTAGAATCCTCGTTATCCGGTCGACCGGATAGGTGGTCGTAACCGACGGTAGCCACGAGATATCCGAAGAAAAACACGTTTCCAAGTCCGAATCGATAGCAACAATACCGTGGCGAAGAGAGCGCAAGAGAGGCCTGGCTCTCTGATGGAAGCGGAGCTTTAGGGTTCGCCGCCGGAGGGTTACTTGAGGGAGCGGGAGGGACAAAGAGAGTCAGAGGGAGAAGTAAAGGAGACCGCCAGAGCGAACACGCGAAGGAAGCAGAGGGTGAAAAGCAGAGAGGGAAACCACCAGCTAGACTAGGAGGTGGGAGGCGGCAGCCTTATTGGAACCGGGGGGAGGAAGTCGAGTTTTCCTGAGGGCTGAGGAACAGAGAACGAGAGGGAGAGAGAGAGAAAGTGAGCGGAGAGAAAGGAAAGAGGAAACGAAGGAGATAGCTAGCTAGGGGAAACGTAGAAGTTGATGGAACGAGGTCGCTACAACGTTGGCAACAGCCGGATGAGTAAAGACTGCATTACCTATGGTACCTACCTCCTCTCCAAGAAACGATCCTCGCTTCACGGCGAGAGAGCAGGTGAGTCGTTGGGACGCCACCTCCTCTCTCCTTTGTTAAAGGCAACACGATCATTTCGTCCTCTTTGTTCGCGATATTAAAGTACGTCAGACGCCGAAGCGACTGCTTCTATCTACCGGGAGGGTAGAAAAGGGAAGAAGGAAGGGAAAGAGGGAAGAGGTGTCAATTTCGTTTCTTGTTCGTGCACGGAGTACAGGATCGACCGTTACTTCTTGATGGAATCATCAATCGATCAAACTTTTTCGAGCATTTCAAATATGACATTTGTAGCGAGATGAGAATCAACATGTTCGAGAGCACTTTCTATAGTTGTTCCTTAGAAATTTTATAGAGAGTATATTCATATTATTTTATACAGAGGGTCTCAGGTGTATACGATTTATCGTGATATGATCATGCAATGGGAGGAGAGGAAACTTTTGTTGTCAATTTTTCTAGTTTCTTTCCTAGTAGAACATAAAGATCGTTAACTTTGAGTGATAATATTAATAAGGTAGTAAAGCAGAGGAGTAAAGGATTGAAAAGTTTAAATACATCAGGGGAAAAAAGAATATTTTTTAGACGGTGCAAATTATGTATACGATTTTCGAGTATTTCAATTTTATATATTTCCTCGTCTGACTCTTTCGCGCGCAATTTAAATACAATAGTAACACAATATAATATATATAATACTTATATGATAAAAATAATAAGAGTAATAAGATAGCAGTCGTAAAAATATTAATCATCTATGGATCATTACAATAATAACGCATAATTATATATAAATCGATATATCTATCGACATATATATGGATATATATATATCCATATATGTATAGATATATTTATATATATATAAAACATCGATTATATATATATATCATATACCGTGATATAAAAGAATGATTCTTTCGTCACGTAAACATAATCGCGCATTTTGTTCGGCTGAACGCACTATAATACAACGATTATGTACAAAATAATATATATACATATATAGATATATGTATGTATATATAACGCATATATGCATATATGTATATCTGATGACACTCTCGAGGGTTATTAACCCTCGTCTACTTTCACGACGATTATCGAACTTCTAGTAAACACATCATTTTTTTTTCATGCAAGCACACCTTAAGGCCTATCGCGTTAGCGGTATATCTTTTTATTTCATCCGCTAACGACATGCTATGTCGTACACGAAAGACGAGCTACTTCGAATAATATCGTACACGAGGCTAGGCTACATATTACAGTCAGATGCGAAATGGGTCTCGTTGTCCAAGAACCGTCTCGATACGGAAAACAATCGATTTATATATATATATATGTATATATAATTACAGTCCGATCCATTTTATCTGTAATTCTACGAAGACGCAGATCTCTCGTGATACTGCCTTTGGTATATAGTCGATATCGAATCCGGCGATTGCCGTCGTCGACATATTATTTTTAAAAAGTAATTAGTAAAACTAAATTAATATAATTGTAATTTTCCTAACTTAAAAAAGAAAAATGTTTTTAATTTATTTCTCCATTATTTAAATTCTAAATAAATCTTAATCTTAATTTAAGTTAACCTAAAAAGTTAATATACGCGCAGAAAGTTAATATACGTGCAGAAAATTAATATACGTTTGAGAGGAACAAAAGAAATCCCGAAATATAAAGACTGAGGACCCAACGGGATCCAGTTTGAAGTTTTTTAATGTTGATCAAAATTTTAAAAAAATTTTTTAATTAAAAAAGAAGATTATATAATACTAATAAATATAATGGCATCGAAATATTTATCCCTAATTCTAAATTCAGTTTTCCGTCTGAAATAATGTATTCAATTACGTGGTCGCGCCGTGGTATCATCAAATATCACCGAATCGATCGTGTCAATAATACGATAATTAATACAATGTAAAAGGAAGCTGACGGCTTGATAATTCCGAATCGACCGATTCGGCAAAACGAAACTATAGTCAACCCCTCTCGGGCTCGACTTGATCTATCTTTGTTGTGTGTAATTACAGATGATAACATTACAATTACAAAATAGGTCGAGACGCTGGCTAGATGCAGCCAGCGCTTTTCGTGTCAATGAGATGTTATCCGATCCGCGAATCGACATTAATTCAGACTTACTCACTCGAATAAAAAAAAAATGAGACACATGTCTTTATTGTTTCGAGTTAGTCTTCCGAATATCAATATCTAGCTATACGAACAAATTTAAAAATTCTATTCAAATAAAAACCACTCGCGCGCGACAATAATGACGAATGACATTTTGTTATTTATTTGCTGTCCGAAAGCTTATTCGTAAAATTTATTTTTACGCTTCAGAACTCAAAAATTATTATCGTCGGAAAAAGTATGTGTGCTAAATTCAAAAAAAGAATTCATTATTCAGCCGGAGAGTATTATTCGCCCATTCTGGGGCACGTTATAATTAGTCGGAGCGAATCGTCGCGCGCGATCGAATCCGCGAAATATGAAAGACAATTCGTCAGGTCGACAACGACGCCGGATGTCGAATTCATCGGATGACACCCGAAAACGAGAAATTGGATCTCTTTCTCACTCTTTTTGCCCTCTCCCCCCCCCTCTCTCTCTCTTCTATCTCGTTGGTTCGTTGAATATTCAAGACCTTCGCGGTGTCGCCGCGCGGACTGCCGCTTTTGCCCCGCCTGGATGGATCGATCGGAGTCGGCAGCGACCAAATATCGCGAGATCCGGCTGCTCTCCGCATAACGGATCCCTAAATATCGGACATAGAGGAGGCGGCGCGCGAATCCCTGACACATCGACCCGTATTTCGACAGACTCGGGAATTATCCCGCTCGCTTGGCCCGTCGTTCTATATCGGACTGGCGTCGGACGCAAGCAAGCAAGCAAGCAAGCAAGCAAGCAAGCAAGCAGCAGCAACCGGCACGATCGGATGAAATGTGTGACACGAGCGCGACAACAATAATCGATCCCGTCCGGTTCAATATGTAATTGCGTCCATCTATCGTTTCGCTGACGGAAGACGAGACGAGGGAGAATCGCGTTCGCAAACAACGCGTCAGTCGACATACGTTATTAAGGACGAATTAAAAATGAAGAGAGAGAGAGAGAGAGGGAGAGAGTCACCATAATCGACATTGCGTACAAGAAATCTTATAACCGTTCGATTACATCGGAAAAAAAGAAATAAAAGAAATATTAATACCTTTGCAGGAAATCCAGAAGTTCATTGTTCGATCTGAAATAAACAAGTTGATTTGATCGAGGAACATTAATCTGAAATGAACGATTTATTTATGACTGACGAGATTGCGTTCAAGCAGTCGCTATTATCGATGTGAAATAATCCTGGTTGCAAAGATATCATATATTTTTTCATCTCAATCGCGAATCATAATTCGGTACGCATTCACGCACCTCTCAGGAAAGCCGCTAAATCAATTCACACCTGTCAACGATCCTGTCTTCCATCAGTTTACAAATGATTCTCTCCCGTTTGAACTGACACTTCCGTGCCCATCATCATCGAGCTCCCGAGAACATTTGGCGACGTCGACGGCAGAACTAAAGGACTCGCGATCGATGGTCGCAGTCGCTCGGTGAGCGCTAGCATCACTTGGCAATGCAGGTGCTGAATAGTCGCTAGTAGATTGAGGTTTGTGTCGATCAGACCGGTAGCCGGCGAGAATCTCTCCTTCTCGGCGCTCTCCGTTTCCTCGACAAGCGGCGTCACAACGGTCTTGGGCTCCGATATCTCAAATGTCTCCCTTCCTGCATTAGCGGCGGCCTTGCTCTTCTCTAGCCTCTGCTGATGCTTTAAGTACGAAGTCGTGATAGGGAGGCTATAGTCGATGGGCGTGTTCTTGGGATCCAGCCCGGGGCTCCAGGGTCTCGCCAACGGCTGACTGGGTTGAGGCGAGGGCGTACGTCCCTCCGGCAGCATTCGCTTCCTTTTCGAGGATGCCGAGCTCCTCGAACTCGCTCGGTCCGATTCCGGCGTCCTTCTCGATTCCGGCAGGGCGTCGGAGTTGGCAAGAAGACCGCTGTTCGTCGGTTCTTTCTTCAGTAGGTTCGTAATGCTCAACGGATTGTACTTTTCCTCCTTGTCCTTTTCGAGTTTATCTGTCGCAGCAACGCCGCCGCCGCCGCCGCTCTTGTGTTGCTTCTGGTGCCTATAATTGTGCAAATTCTTTGCCTCTGACGGCGCATGGTGACTGCTATCGCGCAGCCTGGAATTACTCTGCACCGTCGAGGACGATAATGATGAGGTCGCGAGAGCGGCGTTGCTAGCACCTCGACTCGGGCTCAACGGGGTTGGCGTCGACGCCAACGTCGTAGCCGTGGATTGCGACTGACTATTGGCTATACTCGTGGGACTGGGTGTTCGCGGACGACGTTGGCATTCCGTGCAGCCTAGCAGAAATCGCGTTACCGCTTCTCGGGGTAAGAATGCATACGTTTCGGTAATCTGCAACAGAGAGAGAAAAAAGATCGCATTCTTTAGAGCGGTCCAGATTTTGACAAAATATCCACGATTCTCATTTAATACGTTTATTTTATTTTTTAAAGCATATATTATTATTTTAATTTTAAAAACATTTTTGAATTTATTTTCTATTATAATATAGTTCTCAAAAACAAGGGATAAGAATAGATCAAGCTTGTTGCGGGAAACTAATTTTATACAAAGAACTTTAAGACAATTACGAGTGATCTTCTCATTGTCTTAATCGTATATATTATATATACGGCTTTAATAAGTCGTTAACTGATATTGAAAGTGCAAATGAAGGTATCGGCGAGATCTATCGAGAGATAGCGTGTATTGACCAAATTGTACTGTTTCTCTATGTCTAATTTCTCGTATACATTGCTTCGCGACATTGTTACGTTCGAATAGCGGTCGGTCAGGCAATTAACCAATTCCGCGGGACCGAGGCATCGCGCACCCACGTTCGCGCAATAATACAATTGCAATATTGTCAATTGACGTATTAATGTGCACGCCAACGACCTTTCCCGGCTCTCATCTCCGCGTATCGTCGTCACGTGGCGTCGTTTTACGCGCGACGCCCACTGGGGAAAATTCACGAGCCGGTATAACCGGAACTTTTTGATGTCTTCTGCGAGAGGAGGCGTTCAGCCGGAGGGATGTTCTCCGCCTCTTAATAGGAAACGTTTCTCTCCGAGGAGATGGAGGGGGTGGCATAACTTAATCAAGGAGAAGAGCTGCCTCTTCGCTGCGAGAGCCGAGAAAACCGACGGAGGTTGATGTGTACGTGCGCGTGTATAACTGCACGATTCCACAGGGGTGATGATTCTCGATTTGTCCGAGACTTCATGACGAGATCGCGGGTCGAAAAAAGGGAGGGTCGAGTAGGAGAAAGGGAGAGAAATATCGAGACAACGTACTTTAGATTATTGATATGGCAACTTATCGCGGTTCACCGATACTTTGATTTACACTCGAAAAAGTTGTTGCATTATGATATTTGCAACGCAAAGAGGTAAATGTGTCCAATAATGCAATATACGCTTCAATAATGTAGCATATATATTTAAAAAAAAAATGATGATCACTTTTACTAAACAAATATATCAATCTTTTATGAAAGAATGAATTGTTCTTTCTTCGTTTTTTTATCTTATCCTTTATTTTTAGATCGAAACTTTATAATAAATGTAAAGAGACATAAATAATTTTCATGGATGTGATTTTAATGTTTAAATCACTTTAAGGGAAATTCTAGTAAATGTCGTAACCTTACACATTATACTCGCGATATTACGAGAGGATTGATTTTCTCAACTTTGAACAGCAAAAATCGTAATACGTAACGTGCCAATCGAACACGCGCATTAAAGACGCGAACTGTCAAAGGTGAACTACGGCACCGTGTGTACATATCGGTCAACTCGCAACCCTCTTAGCACGTAATAGCAGCACAACTCGAAATACACCACTCTCGACGCAGCGGCAATAGCGGTGGTATCGAGTTGCGCAACGCGAGCCGTGACATAACGCGGGCTCCTCTGGAGCCGATGAATCCCGCCGCCTAACGCCGACTTGAACGTAAAACAGTTCCACCGTCGCGCGAACGCTCGAGTGTGTGAGTAAGCAGGCAATGCAACAAGTGTCCTGAGGTTTTGAATCACAAGCAGATCGCGGCGTGCGAGAAAGAGAGAGAAGAGAGAGAGAGAGGATGGAAGACCGAAGAGTGGGAGATTGGTCGCAGGGGCCGATGTTAAACGATAGAAAGAGACCACGTGCTGGGGGTGCGGGATAGAAAAAGAAGGACAGAGCGAAAGAACAGATATGATATATCCCGGAGAGAGGTTTACGCGAATGCGCGCCGGAACATGTGAGATGACGTGTGGTATCGAGTGTGGTTCGACGCTTGAACGCCTCGATGCCTTCCTTCGGGAACGGTAAATATCGCGTGTCGCGGGTAACCATGCAAGAATTCATCGCGCTCTGCTGCCGATAGCACTCGAATTCAGAATTCGATCGTTCGCGGATCGGCGGATACTTCGATTAGCGCCGAGTCTAATAGGCATGTTGAAACAAACTGAGATATCCGGTTTATGTGCCAAAAAAATGAATGAAATCGCTCCGCTTCTACCTAAGTTTTTAATTTTTAAGTTGTATATTTTTTGCAAATTAATCTACACTCTCTAAATTTCTTGGAATTTAATTCTACTCTTTTAGAGCGAGATTCCACTCCAAGAAATTAGGATAGTATTATATACATTTGACATTTAAAAAATTTCGATTCTTTAACTAATAGATGTTAAGAGATGCGGGTTTTGATATTAAATGTATGTGTGTTTCCGATTAGGAGATATTTTTAAAGATAAATATAAATTTTCTACGGTATGAGAGAATTTTCTTACCGTTCTGTAGGTGCGTTTCTGACCTGCATGCTTCCCAGGACGTCCTTCGAGATCGACGTGAACGGCGTGGATAATGTCGAAGAAATTCTCTACAATCGCGACTTTCTTGTATACTTTTCCAAGTGGGACTGTACCTTCGGCACCATTTAACGCCTGTGAACACGATAAGATAAAAGAAATTATATATAATATGTTTGCAATGAATAAATGAATAAATATATTTATATGAAAATAAAAAAACATTGTATTATTGGGAGTAACATCAGACGAGAAAGACTATGCTAATGCTTTGAAAGATTGACGTAATCTTTGCAAATGTGAATACGACAGAAACAATTTTCATAAAGGTATATCAAATTTTGTAAACATTTAGATTTGGTGATCTCTTAAGGCGTTTGCCTTAAGAACAAAAGAAACTTTTAATTTTTTAATTAAAAAATTTTTTTCCGTTTTTAACATAAAATCGTTAGGATCGCGCTTTGTTTCTATATGTAGTTTAATCGTAGAAAAGCATTTATTATTCTATTCAATCAATAAAAAGAAAAGAGTTCGCAAAAATAATTTTATCGATAAAAAGCGTTTAGGATCCCCTTAATTTGCAAGCTATACTATGTTCGCCATCTATTGTCGGAGGTACTAGTATTTTCCCTTCAATTTTGTCAGTCGAGAAACGTATTCAGTTCGTTACCAACGTTGATTCCGATTCTACTTTATCGACTACCATCATGTTAGGGAATCTTCAAAATAATAACATCTGCTATCGATAAGGCAGATTTCATTCGATATTTTATTATTAAAAATTATGACATTATAAAAAATATTTTTTGCATTGCTATCTTCTCTCAGCTTTATATATTTGTAACTTTTCTCAAACTGCAAGAAATATATTAAATCGACATGTTACATTGGCATATTATCGTCATAATCTTCCTCCTACGTCATCAATATCTCGTGAAAATCAATATTTAATTTAATTTTATATTTAAATAATTATATCGGATGCACAATCTTAAAGTAAAATTTTTCTCAAAAAATTAATCTTTATTTTTACTCCTAAAAGATTGATAAAATATATAATAGATTATCATCAGAATATCATCCAATATATAATTAATATATGTAAAAATAATGTAGTTTTGTAAAAAATAAAATTGATGTATCAAACGAGAATTTTTTCAATTAAACGAAATTGTAAAGTCTTGGGATTTATTTCACACACTACGTCTTTCATAACAAGTCTTATCGTTCCTCCATCTCGAACACATTAACAAAATTTCTCATTAACCGCGCGAAATTCACTAGTTGATGTTATCCGGACGGGTTGAGAACCGCGGCGTCCCGCGTAATCTTAATTAATCTCGTCCTAAGTACCGGCATCGCCCGCGGGCATGGTCGCGGTCAGATTGTTCCGGCGAACTTTGCGACCTCAAGAAGTTCGGCGCGCATGCGCGACATTATTGTATTTCCCTAAACACCTGTTGAAGGGTAAAGTTGAACTCGTGGAGTTTAGTGCTCGGGCTAAGTGGCTGTGGTCAAGCGGGATAACAATAGCGATGCGTAGCTGATCATATTCGCAAAGCGGGCGATTTTTTTCGCGACAAAACATTGCGTTTGAATTAATAATTTTTTTCGGTACAAAGTACATGCGTATCATCGTGGAACATAATAATTTAATAGATGTAAATAATGTAATTCGTGAGAATTAAACAATATCCTCGATTATCATAGCGGAAGGAATTTATTAACTATCCTAAGTTTGTGCTTTAAAAATTGAAGGGAATGAGTATATGATACAGAACGAAAATGGATCAACAGAAATTAGTCGGTGCTAACATTATCTTGATTATATGTCACGCTTGTGAGCATTTATTTGAAAATTCGTACGTAGAATTGAATAGACCGGAAACCGTCTTATTGGCGAATATATGTAATAATCTAAATGTGACATTTCGCCACTTTCTGACGGACATCATCCTGCAATGAACAAGTCGAAACGCGAAACACCGTTCTATAAAACATATAAATTCCAAATTGATTCTCTTTTTATAAAAAAAATCCGAAATCGTCAATCTCTTTACTTCATTATTTAAAGCACATTCTATAACATGTCGTCGAATGCTCATCAAACTTATTATATAATCATTTTCATATCTTGAAAAACGAAACGTCTTTATGCGATAATTTTCATATTTCGTACAACACAATGAAAAAAGAGTTTGGTTGTTTTTCGATGAAACAGAGAATTACTGGTTGAATCGACCAGAATTCCTTTTACTTAATGCAACAAGAATCTTGGTTGCACAGCAAATCAGTTGTTTATGCTAACCAAGATTGTTGCATTAAAAGGAATTCTGATCGATTTAAACAGTAATTCTCGGTTTCGTCGAAAAATAACCAAACTCTTTTTTCAATACATTAATCAATTTTGAATTAATGAGCAATTTTAAAACCATTGGAATTATTTTATATAACACGCACACGTACATACATATAACTTTCAGATACGATGAACACTGAGTGCATCAGAGGGTTGAAACGCGGAAGTGCGTGCACGCACACGATAGGCGCCCACCAAAGGGGCTCAAAGGACTATCCGGGATAAATTTAGCCTTTTATCCGAGCTACTCTCAGTACTGCTTCGCGTTACACAGTCAAGCTAAGCATCTCACCCTATCTTTGCTCATATGACGTAGATCTACTTCAATAATTTAGACTTTATCTAATGTATCAATGTCTATTCTATCAGCATCACTCTCGATTAAAGAAATATAGAACTGGTTTCAACAGAAAAGCTAAAAAATCTTACATGTCATGAATGTCTTTGTCGAAATAGAAATGCGCAGACTTTACGATTAAAACTAGATCGAAATAATATCGGTCGCAATTCCCGTTCTAGTACGGTCGTTTTTTTTTTTTTTTCATAACTCGCGGAAAAAGATTGCGAAGACGATGGCGACAACGAACGATGAAGAACGGTGGAGAAAGAACGCTTCGCGGAGATGAGAAGCGTTCCTCGAGAAGACGAGGCGAGGATCCAGAATAGAAACGCGTCAGCGGCGCCATAAATCCCTACGAGATGTGTAAGACTCGACGGGGCCAAGTTCGTCGACGGTGTATAGCGGCGAAACCGGGCGCGCAACACGAAAATCCGGGGTATAGCGGCTGTTTTTAAAGCCCCCGTGGACCGCGAGCGAGTTTGCATTTTAAACGAACGCGAACGTTGCCGCCGCGGCATGGCAGAGCGCAATGCCGAGGGGAGAAAACAGCGCGACACGGCGACCGGCGAAGCGGATTAAAAAATTCACGAGGGAGTCTCGCGCCGCGAAAATCTCGTGCGCGAACGAGAGACCGAGAGAGAGAGAGAGAGAAAGCGAACAGTCACGTACCGGGTGGTCCGGAATCGTTTCCTCTTCCGGCGTAGATAACGGATACACTCGGCAACGCGAAAGAAGCACCGAGGAAGAGAGCTCGGCTCTGTCGTCTCTCGCTGCCGAGTACTTTCGAATGTTTCCGTTCTCGAGATATCAACGAGCTATCTAAATGTCTGAAAGTTTTCCGTGAACTCCGTTTTCACTCCGACGAAATGCGTCGTTCACGGACTATCGGGAGAGATAGAAAAAGTTTAATGGCAATATGCTGCAAATATTTTATATATTTTATAAGTTATATATATATTTTTTTTACTGCAATTTTACTCCCTCTTTCTTCCATAATCGCACTAATCAAAGAACGAAGGAGAAAAATGACCTTCGCGACATATGTCATTAGTTCTCGGAGCTCGGAAATGTCTTCGCTACAACCGCTCGCTACTTACACGATAATTTCGCGAGATCGCAAAGAGATCGCGAGCAACCGCCAGCGGCTATAAAACACGATCCGCGAGTTTGGTCTCGCTCGGAGAGTGCGTATCAATGAGCCGAGGACGACCGCTCTGCGCTAGTCTCGGCTATTCAAACAGTACCGAAGCGGCGTCGTAATAACGTTGCATAATAATGATACTAGGAAGCAGCGGGAAAGTAGCACGGCATCGTTCATGTATATGCGCGCGCGGACAGGGGAGGAGAACGACCATTAAATATTCTCTCAACGAGGTCGGATTACCTCCATTTCACCCAGAGCCAAGCGACGATGATAACGACAATGGCAATATGACGATCCGACGGACAGGCCTAACCGAGCCAGCAATACCGAGAAGTCCTGGTCGCAGTTTTGCTGGCACAACAATCGCCGAGCTTAGGATATCAAGCCCTCTCTTCGGGATCGTTTCTTCGACGAGCCGGAGGCGTGTGATTGGGTTAGTTTGGTTTGTTGGGACGGTCGAGACCGGGCCACCCAGTAGCCATTTAGATAAACGAGCGGCCCCTGTTGAGTGCCGCGGGATGCCAGCGCCGAGAGAAATCCGGAGAAGAGGTTTGAGAGAATGCGCGATAGGAGAGAGAAGAAGATACGATGTCGTGTTAACGACAGAGACTTGCGAGAAGAAAAGCTCTCTGGGTCTGAACCACAGTCATACCCGGTATCAGAGGAGAAAAAGTATTCGGGTTCGGATGACGGAACAAAGAGACGTGACGAGACCTACGGTGGTTCGCTCTTCGAGAGTCGCCTGCTTCTCTCGTCGGAAAGAGAGAATCGAATTTCTTTCGGAATTTTGCTGTGTCATAGTGATTGTGGAATTTTCCATTAACAGTTAAATAAATAAATTAAAAATATGTATGTTCCTTTTTTATAACTGATTATATGCGATTCCTGTGAGAAGCGAAAAGATGAAAACATTTTCAAATTTAGAAACAAATAACAACTACAATGCGTCTCAAGTAATTATTGTATTATTAACAGAAATCTGAAATGTGTGTGTGTGTGTTTGTGTTTGCAATGTGAAAAACGAAGCAGATACAAAAGAATTACAAATCAACCCCATTGTCACATTATTACAGTTATTGCAATTATAAAAATGTCATGTAGATAAAGATATTTTAAAAATTAAGGATTTCATGCAAAATATTCCTGACAATGATAATTGTTCTTGACATGTACGAGTATATGAAAATATTCCGCGATATGCTTTGTCGAAATATTTCGCGTCGGCGTATAATACCCTTATAATCTAAAGGCAGATATTATATAGAAAAGAGCCGGATTTCGATATTGGGGGC